TCGTGGCTATGAAAATATAAAAAAAAAAAAACAATATTCTATGTTCAGATAAAAACTGGTAATTCTTTGATTTCTTACAAAATAAGACAATTTTAATCGTTTCTATTTATCAGATATTTATATAATACGCACACTGATGCAAACACTCTTTGTAGAACAGCGTTCGGGTTGAATGACAAAACTGCAAGCTGACTCACTTGTTCGAACATGAGTTTCCTGTTTTATTTTATTTTGAACAAATGATACTAGAAACTAAGTAGATTCGCATGTCTTGATGAGTTTGAAACGATGTTTTATTGAAAGAAAACAATAAGAAGAAATAATAGAACAAAATAACAAGATGACGTAAATTAGTAGTTCATTAACACTTTAATATGAATACATGTAAAAAGATGAGGAAAAACGACTCTCTTATGGCATGCAAAGCGTGAGTATTTATTTGTAGTGGTTCACTATTCCGAGATTGACCTTTCGTGTGCACGGACGTTTCCAAAACGTGCAAGAGATCCTTCCTGTTGATGGATCGATTGTCTCGAAGATTGATGCATCGCACGACAATATTAATAGCATTTTAATAACGTTAAAAAAACTGAGAATCTTAAAGTAAGATTCTTAGAATTATAAATTGATTACAATTTTCTGATTAATGTTCTCTTATAAATTATTGCAAGAAAATGGGAAAAAAAGATGACATGAAAAGCATGACAATTCGAATTTAAGAATTTTGATAATAATACTTTAATTATAATATAAAACGGTGCTACGGTATAGGTGTTGCTTTAAGCTTTGTTCACAAAAACAAAATTTACTCACGCGCGAACAATTTGCAACGTGTTCGGATCGATGGCTAGCTTAAGGAACAAAGACCGGATGCGAGAGTTGTGCAACACAATGTTTATCCAACCAATTATCTATGCTAGAGCTCGGAATGAGCATTTCACTTTTATTCGAATTGATGCACGAGCCGTTACCGTAGCAAAGAATACTACCACCTGTTACGTATACTTGCCTAATGCATCGCGCTAACATTAGATATCGCCATCATCTAACGATCTAATTTTATTAACTACATATCTTATTAACTTCATATTAACTACATATATAACTACATATCTTTTGTATTTTCGAGTAGTAGCACTTTCGATCGTGAATTAGTAAAAAAACAGGAAGGAAGATCTTTTCGATCATTCGATGTTAATCTAAAGAAATAGAATTAGAGTCAACGCGCGAAACTTAAAGAAAAAGGATCATTTCTATTCGTCGGTCTGAGTTTTGTTGCTAAAACTTTTTTTTTTTTTTTTTTTTCTTAAGGATCGTTTACATTGTGATCCTTGAAAGTGGCTCTCGCCTTCGTTTTCTCCAGTTCGAGACTTTCGCTAGTTACCGATTAGAAATCTTGTATTTACTTTTGACGACTTGACAATGATGTTCTTCGCAATCACGATAGAATTAAGAAGAAAAGAATGTGATTAATATAAGAATTAATACACTAGTTTAGTAATTAATACACTGAAATAATGAACAGACAAAGAAAGCAGATGAGAAAATCCTCGATACAGATCTAGTCAAGACAAAGCTGGAAGAAACGACATTGAGGAAGGTCTCAAATCTATCCAGATAGATGGATAACGCATGATACTCGTCCTTTCTTTCAGGTTGAATCAGGAAGCGAGTCGCGTGATCTACATTCTACACAATGCTTTGGAAAGCAAGCATTGATATGGAAGACACTGACGATAGACATTAAGCATTTTCGCATTCCTTTGAGAGTGATGTCTAGTGTTCTACACGATGTTAATTTGTCACAGTAGTTTAAAAATTGAGCTTGTTACGGGTCGGTCGAAACAACGAATCAAGGTCGGCCGAAGAAACGCGTATCGAGTTGCCAACTTTAGTCCTCTAATTGAACGAATTCTAAGGTCACTCGTCATTTATTAATTATTTCATCGCATGTAATTTATCGATAATTGAGGCGAAACAAATCGATTATGTATCTTCGCGATGGAACAATTTCTTTATAGTTCCATATCTATTATATAAACAGTAGCTTATGTTATAAATGAACATTAAGCTGCTTTCACCATTTTACACACATCAAGAAAATTATTTCCGATGTCGAGTGCTATAGAGAGTCGGACATTACGTTGTCAGCAAATGTATTGCTGTGAGTAGATTATAAGGTGTAGGAGATCAGGCCGTGTGTTATGAACAACTACAAACTTTAAATAATCTGCACAAGATTTGCGGTTTATCAGATCTGTGACATGTAATTTACATTTTACTGCAAGTACTCATAAGAAAGTTTA